CCTTGTTAGCATCTACTTTTTGTTTCTGGTTATGAGTGAAATCTGGGTGATTCGTTAGATTGCTTTGATTTGCTCATATGATTAAACCCTAGCTTGACTCGATTCTTTGGTGTTTTGTTTCAACTTGCATATACCTTCTTTGAGACTCAGAAATCACTGAATTTGTAACGTATTTGCTGCGTGATTCTTAGCTCTCGTATTGTTCACGCGAAAACAGATCTAGCTGATTTTGGGTTTTGAGCAATTGGGTTGTTTTGTGACCAAATTCAGTCTGAGAAAGTGACAAGTTAATGGATTTTCATCTAATCAATATGTACACAGATTCACTTCTACCCTAGCTTTTTTTTTTTTCCATATATGTATAGTCCCTGTCAAATGCTTGGAGAAGCTTAAATAGAGGAAAATTGAACAATGAGTTAGGCTTTAACTTTGTGAGAACTTGTTAGGGGATCTTCAAATTTCTTTGGGAAGCCACACGTTATCTTATTACGAATAAAGATTGAAACTTTCACTGATATAGTTTGGGCGTTTTCTTTTTTCTTGTTTTCTGTTGTTTCAGAATGTCTCGGAGGTATGATAGTCGAACCACGATCTTCTCGCCAGAAGGTCGTCTCTACCAGGTTGAATACGCTATGGAAGCTATTGGCAATGCTGGTTCTGCTATTGGAATTTTAGCAAAAGACGGAGTTGTGTTGATCGGCGAGAAGAAAGTCACATCTAAACTTCTTCAAACCTCTACCTCCACTGAAAAGATGTACAAGATCGATGACCATGTGGCCTGTGCAGTTGCTGGTATAATGTCTGATGCTAACATACTGATCAACACAGCTCGAGTCCAAGCTCAGCGTTACACTTTTACGTACCAAGAGCCAATGCCTGTTGAGCAGCTTGTTCAGTCTCTATGTGATACCAAACAAGGATACACGCAATTTGGTGGTCTCCGTCCGTTTGGGGTTTCCTTTCTTTTTGCAGGATGGGACAAGAACCACGGGTTTCAACTATATATGAGTGACCCGAGTGGAAACTACGGTGGATGGAAAGCTGCAGCTGTTGGAGCAAATAATCAAGCGGCTCAGTCTATTCTTAAGCAAGACTACAAGGATGATGCAACTAGAGAAGAGGTGGTTGAACTCGCTCTCAAGGTTTTGAGCAAGACGATGGACAGCACGAGCTTGACATCTGAGAAGCTCGAGCTTGCTGAGGTGTTTCTGACTCCATCAGGGAATGTTAAGTACCATGTCCACTCCCCCGAGTCGCTTACTAAGCTTTTGGTGAAGCATGGTGTTACGCAACCAGCTGCAGAAACTTCATAAGCTTCAAAACCGGTCATGGCTCTACCCGCTTGACTGGTACGGTATTCGACATTCTGTGTTGTAGTTGTCCATTTGCTTTCTTTTGAAGAGATCGTATCAGAAATCAATTACCACTCTGGTTATGCCATGAATGTGATTGAAGATCTTTATCCTTAGGGTTTATTTGCATTGTTGTTATGAATCGAATCTGAACCTTTTAATTCTGCAAATCTTGTTTGTCTTTTCTCCAGAAATCAATGTCCAATTCTGCAAATCTTATTTGTCTTTTATCTAGAAATCAATGTCCAATTCTGCAAATCTTATTTGTCTTTTATCTAGAAATCAGTATCAAGTCAAAATGATAAAAATTAAGGAAGAAACTAAAAAGAAGAAAAAAAGTAGAGAAATGCTCATCATTACTAGTTTACTTTTCTAAAAATATCACAGAAAAAAAAACTTATCTCGCTGATATTATATTAATTAAATGGTGTGTTAGTAAATGTTCATAGAAAAACACAAATTTCAATCTTGAATCTCTATCGTTGTCTCTTTAATTTACACATATGTAAGATTTTCTAAGATGAGGTTGGATTTTTCTCAGCTTCTTGAATAAAGTAAAGACGTTCTTCAATGAAAGAATGAGCAACCACCGACGGGCCCATTAGAAAGCCCACAATATTTATAGAAATAAAGAGTACTTAAGTTGTTGTTGTTTTTTAATGTGTTTAATGGCTTTTAATGAAAGAGAATCAGAATCTCTTTAAGCTTCGGTCACGTTGATTAGAGAGTCTTCGGTCTGTTTATTAACGGTGAAAATATTACCGCTCAATGTGTATTGAGCGCCAAACGGAATTTCATCGATAAAATGTCAGAATTGGCCTTTCTTTGGGCTAGTCTTAATGCCATATTGACTAATGGTGGTTAATTGTCTAACTAGTAGTCATAATAATAGAACAAATATTGGATGAAATAATTGAAGTTTACATTGTAGAGTAACTAAAAACATATAGGATCTAAATGGTCATATTTTTATGATTTGATGGAAATATACATAAATGAATATGGATGAATGGAATAAGAAAAAAAAAACGGAATAAATTGATCCATTCATTCCTCATCAAAATTGTAGAGATATTTTTTTATGAATTTTGGTTTAAATGGTAAATTTTTTAAAAAATAGATCGAATATATACATGAATGAAATAGAAAAAACAATGGAATAAATCTATCCCATTCATTCCTCATAAAAATTGCAAAGGAATATTTTCTTTGATTTTTGATTATTTTTGTGTGGGATAAACATAATGTTTATTCCATTCATTTTATCATAAATGGTAAGTTTTTTTTTTTGAAATAAGTGGAATGCTACACTCCATTCATAAAAAGAGACACATTTTTCACCAAAAAAAAAAGAGACATCCATTTGATTAATTTTGTGTGGGATAAGTGGAATGTTCATTCCATTCATTTTATTATAAATTAGATGATTGACCCGCACTGTATGCGGGTATAAAACGTTTTAGAAAAATATATTAATTTTATTATTTAATAATACGATTTATTGTGCATAAAGTAAATATGAATGATTGTTAGTTTTAAACATTATATGCATGTAAAAAATTAATATACATAGAAATAATATTTTGAATATCGTCATAGTTTATTTAGATTTGTGAGAATCAAACTAAAAGTAAACAATAATTTATTTAAATTTATGATAATAAAAACAATCGGAGTATATATGGTTGCCTTGAAATGAGAATAATTAAAAAGATTACAAATATTTTTTTGGATTTGTCAGCATACAAAGATTGTATATAAGTCATACGTTATTCTCTTAAACATAGATATTTTTGGAAGAATTGCAAAAATGACACTTTTAGTGTGTATATTTGCAAAAATGCCACTATGGATTTTCCATTTGTAAAAATACCACAAATTATAGATTTTTAGAGCCTAAATATTAAAATTCTAAACCCTATAAAATGTTTTGACCCCTAAACCCTCAAAATTAAACCATAATACAATATTGTTAACCCAAACATAAATGATATAATGAATAAATAATTTTGAAAAAGTGATATTTTTGCAAAGATTTTGAAAAGTGACATTTTTGAAAAGTGGCATTTCAAAAGTGGCATTTTTCAAAAAATTTCAATATTTTTTGGGTTTGTGAGCATACAAAGATTATATATGTTTCCAAAACTATAAGAGAGATATCAACTTTTTAATTATTAAATTCAAGTATAATTTAATTTATTTGGAACTAATTCAGTAGATTAAAGTTATAAGTAAAAAAAAAATATCTTTGATTGAAGGGAATTGAATTGAAATTAATATATAGTTATTATATAATTTAAATAAGTGATTTAAAATACTAATATAAAATTTTGACCTCATCTAATATTTTGAAACAGAGAGAATATAATATGCAAGTTTACCTCCATAAATTAGAATTTGACCCCATCTAATCACACATATTACAATGCCATCTTCACAATTTTTATAATCATTGAGGAAATCAATAGCAATTGAACCTTCCAGCTCACATCTTATGTGTACATACTATAAATATGTACAAACATATTTTGTAATAGTTAGATAATATTATCAGAATATCATTGTTTAAAAAAAAGAGTTATAAAAAATACATATATTAGTTTTGATCATTGAGGTCAAAGTAGAGCATGAGATAATCAGTATTTGCTTCATTTGCTTTTGATTATTTTGGAGATGCTTCCATAGATTGGCCACTTTTAAGTTGTACAACTTTTGTAACTTTTCCAGTCAAATCTATCAGATCATAAATCGTGAAGTTAATACATATAATGGTTCGATGATCAAAGAA